CTGTGACCTAGATAGATTTATTAAAGAGACAAAGGTGGGCTGGAGATTGGAACTAGATGATCCTAAGGTCCCTTCCAACCTTAAACATTCTACAATTGTATAATATAATCCTTTTTATATCACCCTGCCAATATAAAAAAATATTCTTAGGAATCAGAGCCTTTTTTCTCATACAGTAAAGCAATCCTCATTAGGGAATTTAATTTGTTCATCTGTAAAAACATTAATGATTTTTATAGGAAACATTCTGTTAGGAGCCGTAGACTGTTTCCTGTGAAGGACAGTAAGCAGGTGGAATTAAGGCCTTTTTATTATGTATTGACATTTTTTATGAGCCTATATCTAATCCTTCTTTCAGCAGAAAATTTAAAATATACTTTTATATATATATACAGATATATATATATAATATACATACACACACACATATATATATATATATATATATATATATATAAAATATACAGGTGTTCAGACTCAAATTTCTAAATTCCCTGGAATTACAGTTGAAGCCAGTGTAAGAAACCACACAGGACTGACATGACAGAAAACCTAAATGTGATTATATTTATATATTAGTATGTCTTTAATATCATCATAGACCCAATTCTTATTTTCATCATCATGATATGGTCCTGAAATAGATCTATGTACTGATCTCCTGATCCTTAGGTGTCTCAAAGTTTTACACACTTATTTTTAAGATTTATAATGTCATTGCCCATTTCCTAACTTGTTGGAAGTTTCAAATCTTAAAATCTTTTCTGTCATTTAATGCACAGGGAAAGTATAAAATATTTAAAGATTAATATCACTTCTGTGCTAGAGAGTAAAAGCACTTTTTATTCAAGGGCATTTTAATAGTTCCTATTCTATGCCATGAAGGAAAAAGTTTTCCATTTCATCTTATTTAAACTCTTCCTTATTTCAAATCTGTCATCATGTTTTCTCAGCCACAAGTTTCACTTGCATAGCTAAGTACAAAAGGCATCTGATTTCTCTTTCTGAAAGTGCTTATGACACATGCTTATAACTCCTATAGGACACAGCTTCTTCTCAAAGATCTTTAATGAATAGAAAAAGAGTTAAGCACAAGCTTGTCTGTAAGTATGAACACAGGTCTTGGGGACACAGACCTCAAGGCTATGGCAGAATTTCAGCTCATTAGTAATTTTCTCTAGTATTTTAGAAAGATAATACCTATTTTTGCCTTGTATACCACTAACACAGAAACTTCAAGCTATTAAAATAGAAATTTCTAATGATTTAGTCACAACTGTAGGTAAGCCTTTCTGTTTTCTAAATACACAGCCAATAAACCAATGCTTATTTACAGCCTGCAATTCTGCTCGGTGGTGTAGTTCAGCACTATTGCAATTACATATTATTATCACCTTATCAAACTTTTATCAGGACCAAATTCATTGAATCAATATACCAAGATAAACACTGAGTTAGAATAACTTAATTGCTATATAATTAATTAAATTAATTTTCAGGAAAAACAACAAAAAAAACCCCACCCTGTTTTTTCTGATACTAAATAGCTGCTTAAATGCACACATGGATCCCAGACTAGCTTCATTAAGTTATTTATGATTGTTTTTTATCAGTTTTCTCTTTTTTCCAATTGAATTCAGTATCTTAAAGGACCTTTATCTCTGTTTTTCAAAATGTTATAGATAAAAGTAGAGTGTTATCTGAGGAGTTACTATCCAATAATGGGAAATTTGCTGGTTTGCACTTTCTTTTTGTTTCTCTATTTAACCTGGTTAGTTTCAGATATGGTGAATAAATAAATATATCCAATTATTCTTATATTCAAATGTTGGTAAAAATAATTACATACATGTGTGTATCTGCTGATAACAAAATGAGGTAACACAATTCATTTTTTTTTCTCCTGGGATGAACCTTTGAATCATTGTTAATTAAAATAAGTAAATTCTTTAAGACATAAATGCAAGTTAGTATTAGACTATACAATTAGTGATTGAAACTCTGTTTAACAAAACACCTCTGGAAGTTACCACCAAGGAGACATTCTTAAATAGCATCTACTGGAAAGCTGGAGGGCTTTATTGTAGCCTTAACTTTATTTAAGGAATGTGTAATATTCCTGTACCACATAAGAAAGCAGTGACTCTAAAAAGATACATTTCAAATAGAAAATCAGTTGACAGGGACTTCACAGTAGGACTCTGTGGAGCAATGTTCTTGTATTGATAAACAAGACAGAGGGACAAAGAAAGAGAAATTAGATTATTAACCCTGAATAAATGAGTTTTAAAGGAGTTCAGCTTTAAATCATAACAGTTGCAAGAAATTTTGGATTTTTTTTTTTGAAAAATAGTATCAGAAAACTATCCTATAGCATGCAAAAGTATCACCTTAAAAAGGGGGGGGGGTGGTACTAAAGGTCTATAGAGGAGATGCAAAGCTGTTCCAGTGATAAGAAGCTGAAGACAGAGCTCAGAATACAAATTAAGGCACAGGCATTCATGGTGACAGTGGTTAGTCATTGCAGCAGCTGAACATTCAGTGTCTTGACCTTTATCTCTCAAAGCCTTCAGATCAAAACTGGATATTCCCATGGGAATTATCTCTTAGTCAAACCCAAACATATAAATCTGTAGGCAGTGAGGCTGGGTAACAAGTTTTAACTAAGCTGAGGAGTAAGTTTTTGCATGAAATTTAAGTCTATAGAAGATGCTACAAGGATACTGACTAACCTAGTGAGCTCCTGTAAATCCAGGTGTATATACTAGGAGGTTAAATACATTGCCCTTTTTGCCATCTTAGAGTTTTTGGCAGCTAATGTTCACACGTCCTGGACTGCAGGATGATAACGAGAAATCAGCAACATTTCAGCAAAGAGAAATAATGTTTCCTCTGGATCATCCCTGTAGTACATTTGACTTCTCTAATTTGATCAATACTAGATAAAGCAAAGCCATCAAGTGGTGTTTAAGGTGTAAATGGAACTTTGAGTAAAAGAAACAGAATTAGATGTCTATTGGAGACTTTGCTGTGTTACATCATAGGCACTGCTCCCAGCCTTAGAGGGTTTTAGCATTTTTTTTTTTATTTTTTTTTTTTTGAGACAGGCAGCTTCAAGAAAACCAAGACAGGCAGCTTCAAGAAAACCAATCCTACTACTAGTCATCTGAGGAAAATTCTCAGACTAGAAAAATAATCCCAGTGGAATTAAATCTGAAACTATAACAGAAGCTACCATGTTGCTATGTCCAAGATGTCTGATGGTACAAAGGGAAATAGTTACAGTGAATGAAACCACAAGAGCCTCCCCTTTAAAACAGGATTAAAAACATGTTTTTAGCAGATCATGAATTTACTTTTCAACTACTTGCTGAAAGCAGTGTTATCAGTAGCCTTGCCTAAGGTTTTAATATCCCTGCATTTGCAATACCAAGAAAATGACGCAACTTGGTATATTAATTACGACAACTTCACTCACTTTACTGGTAAGCAGGGATTTTTTTGTCTTTGTTTATTTATTTTAATCCAGAATTCACCAAACCCTAACTGACCGAGGAAGGTAAGGCTAATTTAATAATCAAGGATGAAAATGTCATTTGCTCAGTTTTACTCCTTAAACCCTTCAAGCTGCTGTTTTATGGAGGAAAGCACAATTTAGGGGGGAAAAATATAAAAAAACTTAGAAGATAGAAATTAAAAGTTCATGTGATACAAAATTAAAATTATATCTGAATGAAAAAGTAGAAAACATTGTTTCATATCTATGTCGGTATTTTTACAATTATTTGAACTGGATAATATATTATTTCAGGATTTTTATAAAACTGTGTCCTGGAGAACTTTTAAAAAGTATATGTCGTCACCATGTACATTAAAGAACTTAAAAGGAAAAAAAAAATGTTATTTGGAGCTATTTCTTTATAGCCTCATAAAAATGCAAAAGATATTTCAGATATGAGCTATCTTTTTGCATTCACAAAGTTATCTACTTCTCCTACTTCTCCTTCATTCAACTGAGTTGAGACTGGTCTTCTATCGGTTGTGAAATACTGCTATTGGTGTGCTATATTAAAGTTTTAAAATATGTATTTTTTGCCCAAATTAAAAGTGAGGCCCAGAAACTTTTCTGGATTAATATTATTTTAAAAGATGTTTCATATTAGTTTTCAGGAATCTCTTTCAATTAAGGCTTGTAATTTCTGAAAACTCATTTCTTATTAATTAGGTTCAAATTACATGCCTTTTAAAGGGCATGTAGTGATAGGACAAGGGGTGACAGTTTTAAACTGAAATAGGTAAGGTTTACACTGGATATTAAAAACAAGTATTTTATTGTGATGGTGCTGGAGCAGTGGAACAGGTTGTCCAGAGAAGCAGTGGCTGCTCATCCCTGGAAGCATTCAAGGCCAGGTTGGATGGGGCTTTGAGCAGCCTGATCTAGTGGAAGGTATCTCTGCCCACGGCAGGAGGTTGGAACTAGATGAATTTTGAAGTCACTTCCAACCCAAAACCTTCTATGATACTATAAAATGACAAAAAGTCTAAAAAGAATGACTATATAAAAAAAGGAGTAACCGGACATTTTAAAAATATTATTTTGTTCTTATATATTTAAACAAAGTTTTATCTGCTCTTAGTAATGACTTCCCAATTTCTTATACTCTATATAAAAATGCATATGAAGCCCTTAACAAACCTGTTTCATTTGAAATTAATTTTACAAATACAAGGACATTTACAATGGAAACCTGGTTTTATGGCTTCTCATAAGGCTGTAGGAAAACTGTTGTTTGCTTCACTGGAGTGCACCTTTCAGTGTAGATGCCTGTAGCTGTGGCTCTCTGTACATCCATGGATTGGCCACAGCCATGTGCTCCTGAGATCTGATGAGAGATTCCTCTGTTTCCTCGCATGTGCTTTATTTACACCCCAGAGCCAGCAGTGGGCCACAGCTTTCAGTCACGCAATACCCTGAAGATGCCAGCGTTCTCCTCAGCAACATGGTGTGGATGCTGAGTGTGTTTGAGTACCCCAGTCAGAAGAATGAGGGGCCTGTCGTGTACTGGAGGAAAGGTCCCGACTGCCACAACCAGCAGCCTCCAGTTGAGCCCCAGCACAGGCAGGTCAAAGGTGCACATTACAGAAAACATCCTCAGGGGATTCTCCATCTTAAAACTGAGCAACATTGACCAGAACACCAGTAACTCCTATTTCTGTGATGTGATGCTAACAGAGAAAATACAGAGCAAATGTGGAAATGGCACCAAACTGACTGTGCATGGTAGGGAGTGTTTGGGAGTGACTCAAAAGGGAGTGATAGAATACAGACTTGATGTGTGCAACGTGAAATAAATTTTCCCTCAGCCTTACTGTCTTCTCTCCCACTACTTCTGTCTGCCAAAAGAAGGGTGTAAAGGAGCAGTGTGCAGTCATATGAGTAGGAGAGGATAGGTACAACTTTTGTTTGGTGCTAACTATTTATACAGCTGGACAGACAGAGTTTCTGTGGATTTAAATCATTGTGCTGCAGAACACTGACTATACATTTTAGGAAATTCTAAATATATATAGATATATAAATATATGGCATCTGTATGTATTTATTTTAATATTTTTGCTTAATCTCCTCTGCAAACATTTGCTGAGTCTTTATGCCAAACTTATAAACACCCAAACCATACCCCTGATAACAGTTTTTATCATTTTCTTCAGTATTTATAAACAAATGGTCTCTTGAAAAATGCAGCTTGGGCTTTCTCTTCCAAAGATGTACTGTAAATTCACACAGCAGTGTGAGTGTTTTTAGAGAGTGTACACAGAAGCAAGGATATGTGGAAGCAGAGTTTTCTTTCCATTTGTTGGTAAAATATTTTTTAATAATTTTTAACTTTTCCCCATCTTCTAATTATGAATTGAATTTCCAGAATTCTGCTGAGCATATATGGCCTCAGTGACTGATATACACTATTTCACATGAGCCAAATTTTCTTTACGTGAACTTTCCAGAAAATCAGGTTAGCAAGTGCTAAAATACCACAAAGTAGTTTTCTCCTTCCAGATTTCATATTTTATTTAACAATTGTCCAACAATTCTTCGAAGTTCCTAAAAAAAAGTGAAAAAGGAAATTTGATTGAAAATTACACCATACACGTGGTTGTTTTAGCCTGAAAAAAAAATTGAAGAAAAAAGCTGTCTGACTTGATAACTGTCATTTACATTACCTTTTCTACATAACAGATGTTTTCAGATATCCCACTTCTATTAAATAGAGAATCTTACATACTTTCTATTGCATAATTAATTTGCAACAGATTCAAAAATATCATGTCTGGAGTAAAAAAGGGAGAAGCTTCACTCCTGAAAAAACAGTAAAAGAAAATGTGATGTAAACAAAGACAATTGTCCTTTTTGGCCAATTCTCAATAATTCTTCAAATTAAATCTTAGCAAAAAACAACTTTTTTTTTTTTTTTTCTATTTCAAATACTTAATTTTCCTTCTCTTTGCTCCAAATTTGAAATGCAAAGACTGTACAACATCAGATAAGATCTGGAGGGGTTGGTTCCTTCTTCTTGGATATACCACCTTTGTCACCAGTTATCATAGCTTTTGGTGTAAGTAATAACTTCATAAACAAATACTACAAACTTAAAGATGGATAGCATCCTCTTGTGGAAAGAAACAATAAGCAAATTATCCTGAATATTCACCTGTGATAAAGTAAAAAGTCCCTCTATTTTCTGTTAACTGAAGAAACTGAACTAAAGAGGTATAGCTCCCACCTGTTTTGAGGGCATGGTCATGGAAAAAAAAAAAAAAAAAGGGAAATTGTGACATACAAACAAATTACAAGCGTTTTATAACTGAGACTGCTGGAAATAGGGAAGCTATTTTTTGATGTTGCTGGCTGATCTTGTTACTTTTACCTGGGAACAAAAGAAAAAACAAATGCCTAAAGTGATTAGTAGTTTGAAACATCCTGCTTCTTTCATGCTTCTGAAGACCAGCTCCTCATTTTGTGAGCTCCTCTGGACACACATCACTGTCTGCTCATCTTTTGTCTTACTCATGTTCTGTCCAACCAGCCAGGCATGCCAGGGCTTTTTGCCCAATCCTACCCAGTAGTTAGTCTGGGTCACTGCTGGACATTCATCTGGCCATCAGTGCAGCACCCTGACAGCTGGAATACTTGGAAAGACTTTTGCAAGAGAACAAGAAAACATTTGTTTGTATATACAAAAATGTCTAAACCTAGGGTGAGTTCGTATGTTTCCCACTGTATTTTAAAAATCCTTCACTCTTTTCCAGTTGTGGTTCTGTTCCCCACTTCAGGAAAAACTTCATAGTCATTTTAATTGAGTGCTTTTTATGGAACCAAATCCTGAAAAGACGGTTCATGACCAGCTCTACTTTGATCCTACTTGGTAACAATCTTCATGTAAATGAAACCATTTGGAAACAAACAAATCTGTGTGGAAACCAGCTGACCTGTGCCAAAACTTGGGGCAAATGAGCATCACAAGTCCTTGAAAGCATGGATGACACTACATTCCTGCCTAACCCTCAAAACTACAACACGCTCTGCTTATGTTTACAAGGTCTGTACCCAGAAGTGAAATTCCAAATTATAATTTATATGAGACCTCAAAAACTCCTTCTGCTTCACCAATATCTCTCCTCAAAGTTACTGTAGTAGAGTTCCTTAAAGGTTAAAAAACATGCTAAATTGGATCAAGTGGGAATTGGTACCAAACTTGCACAGGCTTAGGGGAACAAAACTCAGCTCTGGAGGAATCAGCATGGTTTAAACCAGTGGCTCTTCTAACTCTAGAGAGATGGATCTTTCAGAGAGCGAAATCGTGACTGAAAGGCAGGATTTCTATCTTTCTCAGCTTGTGCTGCTTAAAGGTACCCCTACTTCAGTGATACTGAATCTTGTATTATGGCAACCACTCTGCTGATAGTGCCAGAGAGCCAAGAACTTCATTATTATATAAGACTCAGCACCAGTGATATAAGTTACAAGAATTACAAAGATATTTATGGTATCTGATTGCCCTTCTAGGTCAAGGTTTGGGTTTTGTCTTCTTTAACAACCGGTTGTTAAGTACCGTTACCTCAAAGCCACAACAAAATGAGAAATGTTCACAGAACTCAGGCAGTAGGAGACAAGATATGAGTATTGACTGGCACAGTGAATTCATGCCAGAGAGAGATGTGGTAAAGAGTCAAACCTTGCTAAAATACAACAGGAGCACAAGCCTGACAAAGAATGTATTGCATCTGAATATACAACAGGAGACTAACAAGTCTCTCCTAAAAATAATCACTGTCAGCACAATTAGCAAGCAGCAGCAGCAGTAAACTGGGATGGGAGTTTGCTTTATTCATAGCAGTCCAAATGTTGCTGCTTTGGATTTGTGGTTAGAATAGTGTTGATATCACAGCAGTGATTTGGCTGAACAGTGCTTGAATGGCATCAAGGCTCTCTCTGTTTCTCACTATGCTGCTCCAAAGAGAAGGTTGGGGGCAGGCAAGAGATGCTCAGCAATAAAAGCTGTGGTAGGGGAGTTACTTTTGAGTTGCCTATTGCTCTGACTGGCTGGGCATTGCTTTGCTGGATGAAGGTGGTGAGTGATTTCCCCTGCATCACTTGAGGGCTTTTTTTGTTTTGTTTGTTAGGATTTTGGCTTTCTTCTTTTTTTCTTCTTTCCTCTCTCCTTTGCCTGTTAGATTGTCTTTATATTGATGCATGAGTCAATATAACTCATTTATAGTTTTTTTGGTTTTGTTCTTCATATTCTCTCCCAAGTCCCAATCTGGAGATGGAGAAGTAAGCAAGCAAGCTCTGCAGGTGCTTGCCTGCTGGCTGGGCTAAACCTACAGCATAGAGTAACACTGATATTTATAAAGTTAGGAACTTTTAAAGGTCATTTCTTTACTAAATGAAAAATACTTCCTGTCATGAAAATGTACATTGTATCCAAAACCAAAGTGTAAACTAATGAAAGTGGGACTGAGTGACTCAAAGGTCCTTTGGCCCTTACACTCCGCTGCTTAAATCCAGTGTGTCATGGCTGGTTACGGGCAGCTTCTGTACACACCTCAAAAACAAGTCTGACCTGCCTCTTCTGAGTCTAAATCCCACTCAGCTCTTCCCTTGCTTCTTACTTCTGCCAAACTTTCTCAGGGCTTCCACGTCTAGAGAAGGACACAGCAGGGCACTATCCCAACAACACCTGTGCCTGACTACTGTGCCATTACTAGTGCTCACTTGGGAATCCTCCCTCAAAAGAAGACATCTATCCCCAAAAAACTCTGTCTATACTACCTAAGAATCAAGAATGAATGAAAATATCTCTCCCACCATTCCCATGCCCTATATTGGAAAATGGAGAAGCATTACATGAAACCACTGGTACAGAGTCAGATGCACTTTCAGGCCATTTCTTGTGTACACCCTTACTCTGCTACCTGTAAAGGCCTAGAATTCATCATATAAAATTCTAATTAACCAAAATTAATCAATCTAACACTGATATTAACTCTAAATAACTTTAAACCAAAATGTACCATAATTATTCTACTGTATCATAATAGCCAATATCTGGCTATATTCCAATTTTTCATTAAGTTAGAACCAAATAAGCTATAAAACAATAATGACATAGGTATTAGTAACTTAGCTTACAATTACCTTACATTTTTACTGCTAAAAATAATAGCTATTATTAGTCTATGAACATTCATTAAGCTGTAGTTAAAATTAATTTTCACTTTTCATTTTGACTGTAATATGCATAACAACTTTTAAACCAATTCAGAATAAACACTGGACCGACATCCCAGTGAAGTTAGCTACCTGTTCTCTAAACAGATGAGATATCTGATGGAAACATTTTACTGCCTAACAGTATATGTTGTTGTGCCTATTACAACAGATTCACCAGTGCCATACCAAGTGCAAGAATAAGCTGAGAAATACAGATAGCACTGCCACCATGCAAAGTGAATGGATTTACAACCAGCCATCAAGACAGTTAATGGGTTTAGTCAAGAATATGAAGATATGTCAGTAATAAGAATTCTATGTGACACTGAAGGGAGACAATATGAAAAAGAAAGTGCGT